TCTGAGTCATTGTCCTGTCTCTGACAGCGCCCCAAAAAGGACACTTAGGGGTGAGCGTAAGGACACACATATTAAAAGTTAAAATACTGATTTGAAAGATTATGCAGCCTTTTCAAACTGAGAATGTTAAAAGACTGTTACTAAAGAATAAATACTGCTCCTTGAATTTCATATTTAGACTGAAAATGTGGTTTGTAGATATAATGGAAAACAGTTCCAGGTTATTATACACAATCAGAGTTCAGCTTATAATCAAATTGTACTTTTCCATTTTTTCTAATTCTTCTGTCACCTTAAGACAAACCTGCCTAAGTAAAAGCAGCAAAACAACAGTCTATGTGATGCCACCTGAGTTATTCAGTGCCGCAACTGAGTATCATGTTTAAGAAAAACAAAACAAAAAACCCCAGGAATTTTATCATTGCCCCCATAGCCCCGTAACAGTCATAAATCATACTTTAGTCACTGCTTTATGTTAATCCTTTTAATAGAAGTATTTTAAACTTATCAAACTACACAAATCATTTTTTCAAGTTAATTCCTGTTTGAAAATGCAGGCACAGTCTGCCGTAACACAGGGATTAGCAAGGAAAGCAACATGCCTAAGATGAAACATGTCTAAGGTGTCTTCACCTGTCTGCTTTGTCGTGGGAGTTTATGTGATACTCCACCAGGATTTCCTAACATAAAGAAACTGTTTATGTCAAACAAAGTGGGATTTTTTTTTAAGCCAGTTAAAGAATCATGTCTTGACTTGCCTGAAATGTACCACACCTGACTACTAACAGGTAGAGCAAAGAATGGCTTTGCATCTTGCAGTCTCTATGAAACACCTTTTGTAGTTCCTTGAGGTATATTCAGCCTGGATGCACAACAAGTAGTTAAGCATACGATAAAAACAAATGGACTTTAAAAAATAAGTTGCAATTCTCCCAGTCAATTAATAATTCTCCCTTTCCTCCTTATCTCTTCCGCTCTCCCCCAAGTACTCACTGGCTTCAGGGAAAGCTAAAAGGAAAGGTATGTCAGTGGCTCACTTCCTCAGCCCAACATTGATCTCATTACCTTCCCCTGACCAGGCAGAAAGAATCAGAGAGCAGGGGCCAGCGAGGTGACAGACATCAGAACACAGAAATATCAGAAATATCAGGCTACCCCCTCCTGATAAGCACCAGATATACCAGACAATAAATCCGAATTTCCTTTATCACCTGTAGCTGGCACTTCTAGTCTATACTAGTCACAAGCATCAAGAAGCTTATCCTATTGCTAACTTCTGATAATTTGCCACTATTAACTCAAGCATACCACCCTGAAGCTGTGGGGAGAGAAAAAAATAAAAAACTCAAACATCTTGCCAATTTGGCACAAACCCAAAATTTCCTTCCTGAGCCCAAAAAAGGGAAAAGTCTACCTTGTACCAGGACAGAAAACTCTCCTCCCTACCATACATTAGGGGAGGGAAGGCATAACAATCATCACAAGCAAAACGGTCTTGAACAATCCAAGTAAGTTAAAACAAGGAGGTGAGACCTGAGTCAAACCCAAGTCTGCTGAGAGCTGCTGCTGCTGCAAACAGCCCTTTTCACACCTCTTCAATCACGCCAGCACCCCAACTGGAATGGCTACGCAGTGAGCTGGAGGACGGAGACAGATCTAGGCTCAATTCATTTTTCTTTGCTAGCTTTTTTTTGTTTAAACCCAGAGAAGCTCCCTCACCCACTTTGCCACATGCAGCTGTGCCACGCTCAACTGCAGGAGCAACGCAGGTGAAGGAGTAAGCAAAAGAGCCTGCTTCAGCCAGCACTGCTGGGGGAAAAAGCCCTTCAGACTACTGTCTCAGATTTAATTCCTCCTGTTTATCTAGACAAGGAGAAGGCCTGAGGAAAAGCAGGAA